CTCGGGCGCGTACTGGACCTTGCGGATCACCAACCGCACCGAGTTCCTGTGGGGAGACGGTGAGAGGAGAACCTGGGAAACCATGGGTGCTGGCCCCTTTCCTGGCCCCTTTTTTTGGGGGAAAACCCCTCTTTTGCTTCTGGGCTGCTGGGGCAGGAGAAGGAGCTCATGAGAGGTCCCGGCTGGGTTGGGCTCCTTGCTGGAGTGCAGCAGTGGAGGTCTCCATCCCAACCCCAAAATCATCTCGCACCCAGTCCTACCCTGGAGGGCGCCATCCCATCCCCAAGGGCATCCCCATCCCATCCCCATCCCCACCCCTGAAGACAACCCCATCCAATCCCCAATGACATCTCCATCCCATCCCCATCCCCCACGACCCATCCCCATCCTGGAGGGCATCTCCATCCCATCCCCATCCTGGAGGGCATCTCCATCCCATCCCCATCTAGGGGAACATACCCATCCCATCCCCATCTAGGGGAACATACCCATCCCATCCCCATCCCATCCCCATCTCCATCCCTGAAGACATCCCCATCCCATCCCCAATGGCATCCCCATCCCATCCCCATCCCCATCCCTGAAGACATCTCCATCCCATCCTCAATGACATCCCCATCCCATCCCCATCCCCAAAGACATCCTGAGGAACATCCCCATCCCAATTCCCATCCCCATCCCAGAGGACACCACCATCCCATCCCCATCCAGGGGAACATCCCCATCCCATCCCAGAGGACATCCCCATCCCATCCCCATCCCCAATGACATCCCCATCCCATTCCCATCCTGGAGGACATCCCCATCCCAGGGGACATCCCCAAGGACATCCCCATTCCAGGGGACATCACCATCCCGTCTCCATCCCCATCCCTGAAGAAATCCCCATCCCATCCCCATCCCATCCTCAATGACATCCCCACCCCATCCCCATCCCCAAGGACATCCCATCCCACCCCCATCCAGCAGGACATCTCCATCCCATCCCCACCTCACCAACCATGGGGCACCAAGACGGTCCCAGCCCCTTCCCCATTGCACCCCAGGATGCTGCTCCCACCCGGGACGGACGTTTCCTCTCCGCTCACCTCTTGTGGATTTTCTCCTCCAGGTTCTCGGCACAGAAAGCTTTGACCTCGTAGTCCACACCGCAGGCCTGGAAATCAGGAGGAGGCAGAGGAGGAGGCAGAGGAACCCCTTTGCACCCCCCCAGAAAGGTGACCCCCAACCCAGGGCCGCTCACCGCTGCCCGGCGGCATGAGGACAGGGTGTTCTTACCTTCCCCGTGTCCTCTGGTCCCGGCTGCAGCGTGACAGAGCAGGGCAGGTTGGGGGGGATCTGAAGGGGACATGGAGGGGGTCAGGAGTGAGGCTGGGACCCCCATCCTGGCACCCCATTTTTTTTGCGCCCCTTCCCAATGCCACCCCGGTTAACCCAAACCCCAAAGGGTTACAAAAACCCACGGTTTTGGAGGTTTTTGGGGTTAATCCGGAGGATTTGGAGGAATTAAGGCTGTTTCACTGGGGGACGGGGCCGTTTGTGAGCCCGCGGGGCTGAGCCGATGGCTCAAGGCTGGAAAATGCCACCATGTCCCCCCCCGTCCTGGGGTTTTGGGGGGTGGCTGCTGCTGCCAAAGCTGCGCCAGGGCTATTTTGGATGTGGGAGCACAAAAAGGGGGGGTCTACCCCACCCCATTCCCTACCAGGGCTGCCCAGGTTGCGCTTCACTTTAGGGGGTGCACCCCAGGTTGGTGCCACCGCTCCGGTGACGCTCAGGCCATGGGCCCCCTGCACCAACACATCCCCCACCCCCTCCCCGTGCCTCAGTTTCCCCACTGCTGGCTGCTTTTTGGCCGCTGAGTTTTAAGACCCAGCAGCAAAAGCTGCACCTTCATGGCGAGTGGCAGCACCCCACCAAAAAAACCTACAGGGGACGGAGGGGACCTCAAGGTCCCCACGAGGGAGAGGTGTCACCGTCCCCATGTCGTCACCCTACCTCGAAGGTGAAGGGGTAGGCATGCTCGCCCAGTTTCTTGATCAGCCGCTCCTGCAGCCGCGTCAGGGGCTTTTTCTCCTCGGGGACTGGGGGGAAGGCCTGGGCATTGGCCACGAAGAGGTCCTTGCGGAAGGTCAGCCCCAGCACATCCAGGTCCTCGCGGCCGTAGCGGAAGGCGCAGGTCAAGGTCACGAAGACTGCGGAGAGGGGGGACAAGAAGGGGAGGTCAGTGGTGTCACACGGCGGGGTGGTACACAGTGACGTTGTGGCGTGGTGGCATCATGGCACATCCCAGTCCCACCAGCGCTGGGACGCGGTGGTGGCGCCCAGCAGGTGGGGAGATGATGGAGACCAGCCATGGCCTTGGGGTGCCACCACAGGACCCCCATCCTCTACCAAGGGGCTGGAAATCGTCACCCAACATCAGGGCAGGATCGTGTGGGGACGGTGGCCACCCCCTGTGGTGGTGTCACCTGGGTGG